CTCGGGTAACGACCGCGTCTATGGAGATAGCTCATTGATGGAGGATCAGGGCACCAGGAAAAGGAGCAGGAGGTAGCAAGTTCAAGAGGCTCATCAAGATGGACGCACCACCTTTTTTGGCACCGCAGGGAACAGCACACGGGTATTCTTAGGGAGACTTTCAAAGGAGAAAGAATGCCGGGAAGAAGACTTTGGGGAAAACTTCAATAAGCTCACAAGAAAGCGAAAATTACATAAGAGAAGAGGTGTAAGGATCTGGCTTCCGATGTGACGAGAGGGATATACCCGAGGCGCAGGGTGCAAGGACCGGAACTCTTCAGGTCTTACTGTTTGTAATGAAAGAATGAATAGAGGATGTTTCGTCTTTTCCACCTTTACGAAACAAAGTGGATCTTTGTGGAGGGGAATATTGTTAGACAGGTCTAGCCTGTCAGACTGGGACCGCTTACGCCAAAACAACAGTAGAAGTCTCCGCCTCTGTACGCAGAAATCCGACCGCTTGGTCTTCACAAAGCTGTTTTAAGAAGATTTTAAAGGGAGTTGGAGGGAAATTTTCAAAAAAGGGTTGTTTAAGATATTTCTTTTTGATGTATGCATTAAATAGTTGCGTTTCTCTAGGGTTAGCGGCGAAACATTTGGAATTTGGCTAAAATTTGAGATCTCTTGGGTTTTTTTGGGCTCTAGCGGCGTTTAGAGATTTGGAGAGATAGATTCTCCTCTCAAATAGAGGATCAATTGTATCTAGTATTTTCTTCCATTAGTTTGTGTTCTTGAAATAAAATTTCTTGTTTTCCTGATTTTTTTTTTTTTTTTGGAGTTTGAAAGAGTTTCATCACTGTTTTTCTGAAAATTGATAGGATTTACTTGAAATCTTCAAAGTTGTTTCCTATCACATATTGCAATTGATTCCACTTTAAATTTTAATTTATAGTATATAATTAACGAAGAGAAATCCCAAGCCCATATTGGAATGTACTTTTGACAATTTAGTTGCCATAACTCGCACCACAAATGCTTGAGGCACAATGCTTATCAAATGAAAATCATAATTAAGGCTAAGGACTTAAATAACTCAGCACTTGTCATTTTATCGGCAGTCTAATCATCCATTCTCTTAGACGAGAAGTAAATAGATTCAATGCGACAATTAGTTAATGATGAATGTTGTATGTTACATGAATCAAGATCCAAACCATGAATAAAAATTATATAAAATTGAATTAAGAGACTTTGAAGTTAGAAAATAGGGGTTAAACACATAAAACAAAAGGGCCAGCTCTTAAGACAAAACATTCAGTTTTCTTCAAAGACCAGAGTTTCCAAATAGAATGTTAACTGGAACAACCAGATCTATGACATGCACATCTTCCAAAATGTCATTTGTCCACAGGATTCTCAAACCGTACGCCATTGCAAAGTCATCGGCGCATGGATGTGACAGGAAAATAACTTAAAGGAAAAAAGAGTAAAGACAAACATCAACGAAGGAGTCAAAATATTCTGAAACCCTAGAGAATAGTATTGCCATAAAATATACCTTTGATTATTAAAGGAGTTTAAAAATATTGAATAATACAAACACAGTTAATCGTAAGAAGATCAAAAAACCTAGGGCCAGGCAACTGAAATTGAACCACATTATAGCATAAAACTTAAAAAGGTGAAAGCTGATAATGGAAAATTAAAATATTCACAAAGGTTCTAAATACATCTTAAATTGCAAATAGCAGGATGAACTAAGGAATTAAAAAAAAGTCCCACATTTTCTGTACAAATCCTGCGTAAGAAGAGCATGTTTTTTTTATTTTGGATTTGGAGTTCAGAAGAGAAATGAAAAGTACAACTACCAAGGATAAACTTCTTCAATAGGTGTTCCAGGTTTCAGAGCTACACCTGGTCGCATGCCTTTTCAACTTGATTCCTTGGATAATTTTCTTTTCGCAAGTTCTCTACACAGTGGAAAGCAGAAATAGTTCAGACAACAAAAACCAAGTATCAATGACAAGAAGATACAGAAAATAATGAGAAAAATCAAGATGAACTGGTATCAAACCAAGCATAAAAGTTCAATACACCACAACAAAAAAAAGTTGGTATGGCGGAATAAATAGATAGATGAAATCCACCTTTGGAAACTTCAAGGTGAAACGTAAAGGCCCGAGGCACCAGCTTTAAGCCAAGGCGTTCCACTAGTCTAGGCATTTGTCACCATAAGATGGCCAGTCCAATATATGCCGGCTATAACAGAAGCAAGCCAAAAAAGTTTTTGATGTCAATTAATTTAAAGCAATATCTAATACTAAAAAAATAATAAACGTGCACATAAAATTCAATGTCATAGTACAATTTGTATTGCTTTCGCAAACTTTCAATGACGGAGCTCCAATAGTTAGATGGGAACAGAAGTGCCTGAGAGAAAAAAAGAAAGGCCATGTGATCTGCTTTCATAGAAAATAGTTATTTGAATAACAAAAACTTTACAAACATTATCATTTCGAGGAAGGTAGCGATAGAGATCAATTCTTCTAGGTTATTTATTTTTTCTAATTAAAAATCTGGTTCAATTGCCAACTACAGGAGAGAATTTTCAACAGCTTACCTTTATTTTGAAGCATGCAAGCTGAACAATTTAACCTATCATTCTAAAAGAAAATAATATATAAAGAGGAAAGAAAATACCAAAAATGGTCCATTGACTCTTTATGAACGTCCAAAATGATCCTTAACTATATAAAGAACCTCCTCAAGTCTTTAAAAAAGATCAATCGGTACTATTGTGGGACATTTTATTCATCTTTAAGGAGTTAATGAAGATGATATTTTATATTTTAACCACTGACAGGGGGGTGCTAGATCCAAGTCTTGGATAGAAAAGTGGAGGGTTACATTAAGTAGTCGACAAACGGTATAAGTTTGTCGAATAATCTTAAAACATAAATCAATCATTTAATACATTGTGTTAATGTTAGGGGCGTTCCCTAGAAGCGACACGCTATATGACCTAAATTATAATGAGTAAGTTGTGCAATGGGGTCGTTGCACCAATACCTAGTGTAGTGTTAAATAGGCAAGGGTCCCCACATTCATGGACGGATGTGGGAAAAGAATCTAGTCTTATGAAACTAGAATTATGGTAAGGATCTTCGGAATAAAGGTTTCCATTTATAGGCGAAATTAAGGAACTAAATTTGATATTATGACTATCATTATGAGGATAAATATTATATACATTCAGGAAATTAAATGGTGGAGAGAATGCTAAGGAGGTGTGATAGTTTTATGATTTAAACTTTAATATTCTGGTAAGAATCGTCCCTATAAATGGTGGTATGTTGTGACCAATAGACTTCAGAAGTTTAAAGAATTAATATTATAAAAATTGATAGAAATTAGAAATAGGAATTATAACTTTAAGAATTATTGTTTGATCGTTAAGCATATTAATATTATAAGTACTTATGCTCCTCAAGTGATTTTAATATAAGATTCAAAATTAAAATTTTTGTAATAACTTAGAAGAATTTAATACACAAAAGATACTCTTAAAAAAATATTTTTATTAGAGGAGAAATTAAATGGACATGGTGGCTAAAACCTTGGAGAGACTAATTAAAGTGGTAAGACCAAGTATTCCTCAGAATTCCAGCATTGGAAAAGCCGGTGGTGGGAATTTGGATTCCTTAGAATTACGACAACGAGCTGGGAACTTATATTCCTCAGAATTCTGGCAATGAAGAATCAGTGGTGGAACCTGGAGTACCTAGCAAGGCACTAGCTCCTTACGGTAGGATAAAGTCTTTCTGAATCTCTTGTAGCCTTCAGACATTGATATCCATGATCGACTCCTCTATTTTAGGGAAGTAGCATACTTCACCATCTGTTTATTTGCTCATTAAACTCTCGGTCCGCCTTAAGCATGCACCACTCGAATCGTAGTAGTGAACTTCCTTACCCACGAAGAAAACCATCTTCTTTCCAACTGCGCAGCATCATTTGGGCACTCCACATATAAGGACAGTTCCATACAACAAGCATCGAATCCAGCAAACTAACTCAGTCCAACATCCGAGTGGGCAAAGTTTCCAATGACGATTCTGCGAGCAACAGTGACGAAGGAGAGAAGTAGGTTACGAAGAGGCGGTCCGTCCGATTTGAGGGGTTTGATCAGTGGTGGAGATTTTGAGAGAGGTGACTTCTTTTTGCTATCTACGAAGGCTTGATTGATTTTCTCATACATCTTCCCAAATCTGAGGGTAACGAATCAGAACATACACGAAGTGATTGGGATTTGGGGCCAATGAGAGCGCTCTTCAAGTGGAGGATTTGAATGGAATCGTACAACAGCCTTCAACCTATTGTTCCTTGCTCGTTTTGGACCTTAGCACACGCATGAGGGTGGTCATCACCTTGCTTAGGCACACAGGTACGCAGTTCCCTGCTCGCTCCGTCTCTTGATCCTCTTTTTTCACTAAGTTAGCACCTAGGTAGGCACACACGGGAGGGGCTCTCGTTGTCCCTTCTCTCTAGCCGCACATAAAGGACCGAAATGGGAAGGCCCTCTCACTTGCGCGGGCTTGCTCTGACGTACGTTGAGTAGGAAGGCATAATGCAAGACTAGCTCGCACTATGATCACACACAGCATGAAAGCAAATCTCGCTCATCAGCTCCCAGGAACACGAGTAGAACTTATAGTCAGATGCCTCTCTTGTCCCGTTTAGTTGCACGCATGCGAGAGAGCGTTTACGAGGAATTCGTCTCTCTCGATTGAACACAAAGACAAGCGGGTTCTCGCTCGACTTCTCTAGACGAGACGCACTGGACATTTGTCTTCTGGATCCAAACCGAAGAGACCGGCAGGATGAGAACACTCTCCCCTCTCCGGTGGGACGTATTTAGGAAACGAACAAAGGCCGGGAAATACGCTCCAATTCATTTTTGAAAAACGTTCGGAGTAAAAAACTCAGAATTCCAGCCAGGCAATGAAGGCTCTGATACCATTGTAAATTCAAAAAAAATTAGAGAGGGGAAAAGAATTTTATTTAACCAAAATTATGTTTATTTATAGATGCTATACAAACCATGTCTTAAAAAAGAGACAAAATAGCTACAAAATTATGCATAATTGCCTTAATATAATCCTTCCTAAATCAACCACCCAAATATAGAAGGAATCGGCGATGATCCAGGTGAGCCTCCAATAGAATTTCTCCATCTGGTCGTTGAATTCCAAAGTGTCAAGGAGACGACTGGGATTTAACAGAGATCGACATGATTCTAGGTGAGCCTCCCCTGATTCTCATCCTTTGCTGTGAGATCAAGTGTTAGAAGGAAGAACCGGATGGGATTTTAACAAGAAAAACATTGTGGGTCACTAGTATTGACATTATAAGACTAAGATAAGCATAAGGATGAAAATAGTAACGCAAAAGTAGCTATTTTAGTGCTACTTATTTGACAAGCCCATAGTGCCCAGTAAATAGTTAAGCAACTTGACTGTTTGTATTTCATTCCTGCAGACATTTTCATGTTTACTGTTTATGATTAATCGTCATTTATTATTTTAATTATCAAACATTTATTGATTTAAAGATTTATTGCAGTTGAGCTAGCTATGTCATGATTTAAATAATATTATGTGAGTTCACAATGATCAGTCGTATTATTATTCTTCTTTATATATATTTAAACACCATGTTTACAGAGTTTGTTTTATCCAACCAAACTTCCTTGCTCAACTAGATATTATTATGATTATTGTTTCACAAATAAAGGAAAAAGAGAAAATTAAGGGTCATACTAAGGTGATCAATTATTCAACTTATGTGCTTTGGATGTACAGTATTGGGTATACCTAAAGGAAAAGAATTATGTATGATATAAATTAAAAACATCTAGTAATATGTTAAATTATCTATGAAATTTAATAGAAGCTCTGTAGCTTCTCATGATGAATTTATTTGTACAATTTCTGCATGAAATTGGTCATGATGTAATCTAATTTATCTATTTGAAAAATCATGAAAAGAGTAAGCATGTTCGCTTTGTTTTATAAACCCAGGCAAATAGATTTTTTTGCCAGCTTAATCTGTTAATAGTAAAAGTCAAAATGGGTGTTGATAGAAAACATATTTGACAAGTTGCCCGCCTCTGGCCACGTCTTGTGCTGAATAAAAAAAAGTTATTCAAAACAGAGCAGAAACAAAAGTTAACGCTAAAAGGAAGATGATAATAACTAAAAATTGTATAACAAAAAATTGCTTGGGAAATTATTTGATTGTCTTGCCTAGCAATTTGTTTTCTATTTAAGGCATAGAACTTTTGGTACCCTGTATGGTTTGTACACCAAACAACCCATTAAATCTTTACTTAATTGTAATTGGTTGTTTTGCTTTTATTATGTCAGCATAAACTAGATGCTTGCTACTTCAATCATCCAGTATAAAGGGATCAGTGCGCGATTTGGTTACTTTAGCAGTATTAATATTCTTCTAAACATGAGCAGGAAGGATGATACTTAACTTGAGACGATGCTGTTGTATGTCTTGAGCAAAATAACTTACCCATCCTGCATGCAAACACAAAGGAAATTAAATCATCTGTAAGAAAAAAAATAGCAAGTTATTTAGAACCAAATGCAATACAAGGTGAAAAGAAACTTCAATGTTCATTAACCACTTAAAAAGTAATGCACACTACATCATGCAAATTTTTGGATGGTTTTATCATTTTTCTTGTTACATTTTAGATAGTAAAGTTGCTGATAGCTACAAGGAAATAACCTCCTCTGATTCCATGTACCAAAATCACCTGACAACACTACACATGAATATCAGACCACCATAAAAAGGTGATCCCTATAAAATTTTACAAAATATATATTATAGATATATAATATATTATAATATAATATATATATATATACTATATATATTAATTATATATAATATATAATATGTATTCTCCAAAAATTATCTGCATCAAGCACGAATCTCGGGGCATAATCAAATTGGAAACTTCGAAAATTAAACCTAGGAGCACCCGAACTCCAATTTCATCGAGCTTATAGTCAAACTGAGCGTCTCGAAATACAACCCACGACACACAATTCAAACTCAATCCGAGCCAAATCAGGAGCCCGAAGTGCTGTTTGGAAAGCTCGTACCACAATTTGATTACCAAACGGTCTCTGATTTTAACGAGCTTATAGTCGAATCGAACGGCTCGACGAGACAAATCCAACGAGCCCAAGATCGCCGAATTCCGACATCACTAGGACTTCAAATGTCCAACGAACGGTGCACGATCAAAGGATTCAATATCAGCCGCTCCGTTCGGCCACTCCCTATTTGCCCCTAATCCCACACACTATTTAACGGGCTATGCCACTCCAGAGAAACTATAAATAGACACAACTCATTTCTCATAAGAGGGGACCCAAGAGAGCAAGCAAGCAAGAAGAAGATAAGAAGAAGAGAAGAAGAGGGAGAATAGCTCCTTCTCGACACCGCCGGAGTTCTTCCCGCCGTCCGAATAACGCGCGGAATTCTGCGGACATTTGGGTGACGCGGGAACTCTGCACAACTTTGTAATTGAATCTCAATTCAGGAGAAATTCATTGTAATTTGATCGTCTTAACCTGGTGGACGAATTAGTCTCTTGTATCCCAAACAAAACACTAGTTGAATCATTTCAACTGGGCGAGGCCCCGTGATTTTTTTCTCTTTTCAGGGTTTTCTACGAAAAAATCCTGGTGTTTATTTTCCTTTCCTGTTTGTGTCTGAATATCCGTCAAATGCTCGGACAGAAATTTACTAACTCTATCGTCGCGATATTCTAGGCCCGGCAACAATATATATTATATATATATATGAATTCTTCATGAATTTTACAGATCTTTTATCAATGAGTTGCAAATCTATGTAAACAGTAAATAATTACATAATATAGTGTGTAATTGAGATGACTGTTACACATCTATTTCGTCAGTGATCTCATCATTGTAGGCCTTGCCATGATCTAAAAATTAATAAAATTCCCGTATGATTATATACATCTCCATCCCTCTGTATTCTATCATAAACAAACCATCTGGCTAGAGGTACAATTCCGTAGTTCAACGTAAAACTACACCATATTTTCATATATCTGAGTTTCCTGGCAGTCAAACTAACAGCTAAAAAGTATAGCTCTTCAGCATAACAGCTTTTATAAACGATCAATGCCCAAAACCAAGCAGTCAGAATCAATGCTCCAATTTCGCTGCCTCCAAAACCCCTTTATATTCATTTAATTAAGGAGAGCAGCAAAGCAGAAGTGCAGAAAAAAAATCAATTTAATGGAACTGACATTTTGAACAGGAAAACTATTAAAAGCATTATAAGAATCGCAACTGAATGGACGCACAATCCATCTTTGACTAGAGAACCCATCTAGTTCGAAAATAAACATCTAATATCAGCTCGGTAACTAGATGAGCTGCTAGCACCATTCGAAGAAAACTGATAAACAGTTCCAAGGACACAACTAAAAAGAAACCCTAGCTGATCTAACGGGAACAAGACACAAGGAACGGAGGAGATTGTTACCATGATGTCCATATGAAGCCAATCCGCACCAAGTCGGATCATCCGCTCCGCCTCCGACGCCAGATTCGCAAAATCTGACGACAGCATCGACGGCGCAATCTTCGCAGTCACCACCATCTCTCTCTCTCTCTCTCTCTCAAACAGAGGAAGCTAGGTGGTCAGCTGGTCTCTTGCAGTAGAGGGTACGGTGGAAGGTTTGGTTAGGTAGAATTTGGAAGGAACATATTGGGTTAGGAAATCCAACCAAAAATTGGTCAAAAATAAATTATTATTCTATTTATTTTGTTTTGATAATGATACAATAAGAACTTATTGATTAAATACTTTATACTATTTTTAAAATAAACTTAATAGTTTTAAAAATATTTTTGGTTTGGGATATTTTAATTTAACTTATTTAAGTATTTAATTAATTTTTGCTACTCTCTTAGGATTCCCCCTATCAGTAGGCTTAAATGGCTTAGACATTAAAGATCCTCTAGCTACAACATCTATGATTTATCTAAGGGATCCTACCAAATCATTATAAAAAGTCTGAATAACCAACTAATTGTGTAAAGTATGATAAAGGCATTTTCTAAGTATATTTTTCTTAAATCTCTCACAACTTTTATAAATTGATTCTCCCTCAAACTGGATGAAAGATATGATATCATTCCTATGTCTGACAATTTATGAAGGTGGGAAATACTTTGCTAGGAATTTGTAAGCCAACTCATTCCTAGTGGTTATAAAGCTTGGAGGTAAAGAATTCAATATCTTAGCTTTATCCCTTACATAAAATGGGAAAAATCTATGTCTAATAACATCATAACTAATATCATTATACTTAAATATTGCACATATATCCAAGAAACTAGGTACATATATGGGATCTTCAATAGGAGTTCCCCTAAACAAGGAATTTTGAATCATTTGAATTATGGTAGAATTCAATTCAAAGTTATTAGCCTGGATAGTATGTCTATGAATATTCTGATGGACTCCTTTTACTAAAGGGTTAATATATTCTCTAAGGGGCCTAGAATGGTCCTGATCTTGTGTTGGGGTAGACATTTCTAAAATCTTTTTATTTTTTGAAAATTTTTATAAGTCTTTTCTATCTCAGGGCCAAATAATAAGGACCAAGCATGCAATGATGATGAATAACCTAAAAATAAAAAAACAAAAAACTCACAAAATAATCAATAACATGCTTTTTAAACTTATCAAAATTTTATCAAATAAGATGAAGATAAAGATAAAGGATATCGGTTATTCTAAATATGTACTTATTACAACAATATAGTTAAAATTATAATATGCACGTTACTTATCCAATAACATAACCAAAAATTAAATTGCACTAGGCTAGAAAATGACTTGCTAAGTTGAAATATACTTAAGTTTTCTTTGATATAAAATTAATAAAATCCCACTAAAATACATAGGTATATGTGGTACATCGAGTAACAAAGTGATAGAGTTGAGTGTCGGTCCCATGAAAAAGTATTCTTCTTAATTGCAATTAAACTACTACTATTTAATCTAAATGTATAATTTATCCTATTAAAAGTAAAAATGATATTTTTGAGCTTTTGTCACTAAAAGAAAAGCTTGCAAGAAGATTTATATACTTATGAAAATAAAATGTTTTGGACTAATAAATATAAATATTATTATTTTTCTAATAAGACTCTTAATTTATATGTGGATCAGAGTATATGCATTCCTAAATCTCTATCAAGTTTTAGGGATAAAAATAAAGGTTTATAGCCTTCAAACAATTTTTTTGTCTCCTTATAACCTAGAACATTAAATATCCTATTTTTAGGCATGTCAACATTTCATTTCAATACTCCAAATTGTTAAAGTATTCATCCATAGAGGATATACATCACACTAGATATTAACTACAAATATAACCATTGTGTACATTAAATGAAGAACAAGAGATATTAAAACATCAATGTATCTTTCAAGCCATAAGAGTATGCTTTAGTATTTTTATATTTTGTACACCATCAACCCAAAATTAGAGAATTAGCCAAATATAGATATTCAACAAGTAAACTCATTTCATTTCATTCATTAAAAGAGGGGATATAAGAGAAGTGATAAGAAAATTATCACCTAGAAGGATCAAATGAACTTCTCTACACACCTTCTTCCAACCATAGAGTTACTTACACATGAAAGTCCTTATAGGTTGTTAGACTTAAAGCAATTGTCTAAAGGCTAACCAAAAGCGCGAGGTGGAAGGGGGAGGTGGGGGGGGGGGGGGGGGGAGGTGAATTGATAATTTAAAAAACCTTTTAGAAATTTAAAAAAATTGTTCTTATAATTTTAAGCATAAAAATGTTTTATCAAACTAATCTTTTCAACCACAAAAATAATAAAAAATAAAAAATAAAAGAACACATAAATTTATAGTTGTTCAGTCCAACTCGACCTACATCCACTCCCTGAAGACTCCCTATTCATGTATTGCACTATTACTAAAGTGACTCTCCTTTTGTTCACACAGCAAGGAAGAGAAGCATTTATAATTCACATCTCTTCCACCAATCCCGGGTGCGATAGAGTACCATCATCCTTTCACACTCTCCAAGTGTCGGCAAAGAACAGTCATCCTTTCACACCCTCCTGGTGTCGGTAGAGAACTGTCATCCTTTCACTCACTCATGGTGTCAACATAGAACCATTATCCTTTCACACCCTCTTGGTATCGGTAGAGAACCGGTTCTTCTCCAATGATCTTCTCTCGAGAAACTTCAAAAAAGTAAGGAAGAGATTTGAGAAAAAACTTACAAAGAGATCCTCAACTTTGGGAAATCTTGTGAATCCTTCACAAATTTCACTTGCAATATCTCTTTCAACACTCTCCCAAAGTACGCTCACACTTTCTCTCAAAGAAAAAATGAAGAATCATATATTCCAGTCATTTTTTAGGATTCATATATGAATGACACAAAAAACCATCTAGAAAAATAAAAATTTAAATTTACCATCCATGATTGTACAGTACGATCGATTATCGTACGCACGAATAGTTCAAAATTTGTTCGTACAATCCAGTACGAACCGATTTTGAACTATGATTGAACTGTGTACGAACTGGCATCGTATAGTATGATCAGTTCAAAATTAAATAGATTCGTCCTATACGATTCAATACGAACGATTTCATACTCTAGATAACTTATTGTATGAACCCCATATCATACAATACGATATGTTTTAATCAAATTATGTTTCGTTTGGTATGAAAATGAACAAGTCCATTTCGTACTCTAGAAGTCATCTGTATGATCTTAAGATCGTAAAGTATGAATGAATCAAAAAATTTACCAGTTTGTATAGATGAAAAGATATGAAACCATTTTGTACTATGGATATCGTTTATACAAATCTAAGATCGTACAATACGAATAGTTCAGAGAAATTATGAGTTTGTCGGGACAAACTTGTATGTATCTATTTTATACTCTAGATGTCATATATACGAAAGTAACTTCGTAGAGTACGAACAAGACTTAAAAAATTTTCCTAACATGATTCAAATAACTATTTTTTGGAGGAACGCTCAGGTCAAATTGTCCCGTACGATATGAAATCATACAGTACGATTAGTTAAAAAAATCATAGTTTTTACACTCCCCTAGTGTGTGTGCATGATTACCTAATTACAATCACACTCTCTCGGACTCAAGAAAAATATAAAAAGTATAAACTTCAAATATAATAAATCCTAATCTAATCTGTCTTGAAGTCTTTAACTGTCTGGAGTATGATTTTGCTGAAACGTTGGCACATACAAACAATAAAAGCAATATTTTTAATATATGTTAGGAGAAACAATAGTCAATACAATAATATTTTGAAATTATCAAAAACACAAATGATAAGAAAACATAGTTATGAAAACTAAGTTGTAACTATCTCTCCCTTTTTAATGATGGAAAAATAATTATTATTTGAGTTAACATATAAAACAAATTTTCTCCTTAGTTCCCCGTAAATGAATGACCAATTAAAATCAAGGTGGTTCCTATGAAGATCAAAGAAACAAAAACCCTAAAAATAATAATAATAATAAAAATAATAAAAACTCTAAAATTAAAAAGAAACAAACACTAACACAAACTCGAACAAAAACACGAACACGAACATTCTAACATTCAAAACATAACATACACATATCACATCTCATTATACACACATTCAAACAATTATACACATTACAATACAATAAATAATATTATGACTCCCCCTTTTGACAACAACAAAAAGGGAAGAAACCTTGAAATGAAATTTTTCTATAGAGAAACCAAAAGAGTTGAGGATGAAAAGGATTATAAATCAATTGCAAATACAAAATTAAATTCATAATACCAAAAAGAAAATTTTCAAACTTTTAAATCAAAGAACTACTAAGATAAGAAAATTCAACCAAGTTCATTGTTCATGCTAGATAAATTAAATAAAAATGATTAATGCAAAAATAATAAAATGAAGATTAGTTAAATTCAAATTCAATATTGAATATGATTGCTAATTAGATGGATTTAGATTAGAGATTAGATGATAAAGGAAAAAAAAATACTATAAATGCTTTCAATTGGTGACATTGTGTATCTTTTCAAATATTAGTGGCACACTTTGTGCATCTTTTATATTTGGGCTACTTTTATGACTCTTTTCACTTTATGAACTATTGCACATCTTTTCTATTTTTGCACGCTTTGTGCAGTTTCTTTTTTTTTACTTCTTTCAGATATTTCCAATATCAGTAATCTAAATTCAAATTCTACTAATAACAAAAATAAACATATTTAAAAAGAAAATAAAAATAATAAGACATCAATCTTGCAATAAAAGTTTAGATATGTTTGTCTATAAGAATATGAAATTGATCTCCTTGTCTACATCCAGTCATAATTTAATTTAAACTTTTGAAAGATTAAATTTTGTAAGAAAATTAATTTGTAAATCAATGTAATTCAGAATTCATTCCAATGATCAACTACAAAATATTTTTCCATTAAAAATATAAACTTTTTAAGAGATGTAATCAAATGCAACTAAATAAAATATCCCAACATTCCATTGATATAAAGGAGCACATATAA